AGGTTTATTTATTATCAAATGCTTTATATTAGGAAACAACTGACATTTTCATTGAAGATGGTTGATATTGTTTTGCAAAGTTTGTGCTAATATAACGATTTACAAATGATCCATGCTCTATATATATGTGTGTATGTATCTGTGYAAAATCGATATGGGGAATGAAACTCTAACAAGATTTGACCACGAGTTGGGTTCTTCTAGGTATAAAATGGTATGTTCTATTTCCAAATCCTTATGGAGTCATGGGTCATCTATCAAAAGCTTACTAGGTAARCGCTTATCTGTTGTCACTTTCTTTACTGGGAGCATGGCATTGGTAAGGACCAAAAATCTTATCAGATAGCAAGGACTGGAAATCTTAAGGTGTTACTTACTTTAGTTGGGGCATGACAAGGACAAAGTCTGTTTAGAGATAGCAAGGACCGAGAATCTCGGACGGTGGTGTCTCTTGCCGGCAAGCACTTGCCTTGGTAAAAGCCCCATTCTATCCTTTAGTCTAGAATGCATAGTCAATTAGGTTGACCTAAGGATAACTGCATAAGACCATTAAGACAATTCCTTGAGGCTTTTTAACAAAAGAAAGGCTGTTTTTATGATGCATTTATTGTAGCGTATAGGGGTGCACAATATCCATGATGCTTGCAGATATATATTCATAATTGAATTATTCAATTACGACTCAAATTGAATTCATAATGTAAATGGTGAYATTCATACATATTTACGTTCTCACTTAATTGGACTTTTCCATTTAAAGTTAATAATGGTTTGTATTAATTGTTATCGTTTKYTTTTTTTTTCAAAAAAATTCAAATCATTAGAAATATGTTTCTTATTTCACTAAGGCTAATATGCTTAATTATATTATGTAATGCTAAAATTAACTAATTTTTTAACATGTTCTTTTTGGTCATTTCATATTTCGTAACTATTTTATCCCAATTTTAACTAAACATGATTAGTTCATCAGTTAGTTTTTCAGGCAACAGTCAACTTACCTACTCGTTTGCCAAACATAACCAAAGTTTTATAAGTTCATAATTGCATCGACTATCTTCTCATCATGTTTCTCTCCTGCAGGCTGGGTACCGMCACATCGATTGTGCCCAAGTTTATGGCAACGAAAAAGAGGTATATATGCAAGTTTACAGAAATGGAGAATTACATCATAAGACATAARCTTATGGACTTCATTTTTGTTAGAATGTAGAGCAATAATGGGGTACTTTTAGCCAAGGTTCCTATCTAGATTGTTGCTATACCGACAGGGACGGATCCACTATGGGGCATACGATGGCACATGCTTGCTTCGTTCCTCCATCATAGTGTAAAATGTTTTTGGGTCGTGAAAGGTGCCACCGTATTATTTTGATGGGTGCAACTATATGCACCTTGAAACTACAATGATAACACAAGTTTCTCTTGGTATAGTTGGTTTGCATGGTCTTTTCTCCTCTTGCGGGCGCGGGTTCAAATCTCATTTATATCATTTTTTAGTTTTTTGCTTTTAATTTCAAGTTTATTATATTTCCGAAAAAATTAGGATAAAAGACTCGAGCAMAGGACCTTACATACAAAAACCAAGGAATTAACCATAAGACCGATGATGATTTTGTAAAATATCCATATTTTCGCTTTTTATAGTCAAATGTTGCTACCACTTAAAAAAATTTCTAGATCCGCCTCWGCATACCGGTATCTTATTTCTGGGTACCATATAAGCTGCTAAAATATACAATGACGACCTTTTTGCTTTTTCTTGTTATATTTGGTGTCATCAAGTACCAAAGACCCTGTAAAACTTATTCTTGCATATCCTTTAGTCTCTTTTTGTAGTCCAAAACAATTCATAACTCAACTATGTTAATGCCATTATGGTTTTCAAGATTGGTGTAGCTTTGAAGCAGCTCTTTGATGATGGTGTGGTGGAACGACAAGATCTGTTTATTACCTCTAAACTCTGGTTTGTTTTAATCCCTTCTCGCTTAACTTTGGWTTCGTGTGATTCGTTCAATTAAATATTCAATATCCTAAACGTTACAGGTGTAATGATCATGCCCCGGAAGACGTACCATTGGCATTGGACAGGACTTTGCAAGACTTGCAGCTTGACCATGTTGATTTGTACCTTGTAAGTCTGCAGAATGCCAAGTTTCATACCCTCTTTGATCTGCAAAAACAACTTATTTCATAGAGTAAAAACGACATATTTTCTGKCTTGATCTTCATTTGTACGTATTAACCGATAAATCTTGTTCTTTCTATTCAAGATTCACTGGCCGGTACGGACAAAGAAGGGGGCTGCGGGGTTCAAACCTGAAAATTTTATCCCAACCGATWTACCTGCCACATGGAAAGCAATGGAAGCACTCTATGATTGTGGCAAGACCCGAGCTTTAGGCGTTAGCAATTTTTCATCAAAGAAATTGGGAGATTTGTTGGAGGTATCGCGAATTCGCCCTGCTGTGAATCAGGTGGAGTGCCATCCTTCGTGGCAGCAAACCAAACTGCGGGAATTCTGTAAATCTAAGGGTGTTCATCTTTCCGTAAGTGGGCATGAAACTTCTATTTAACTATTCATTTTTGCGTTCTTTTCCATGTGTGTTCTYCGGAGCCAAAAAAGACTGGGAAATCTTGTGTTATCTCTTTCTGCTAAGAGGCATACTTAGGGCCTGCTTGTTGGCAGCTTAACGAGCTTAATAGGACTCGCAACTTATTTGGTTAGCTATAAATGATTGTTTGATRGTGGCTTAATGATATATAAAGTGGCTTATTTGGTTAGCTTCTAGATTGAAGTTTTATACAAAAAGCCATTTTTTTCCAAACATGCCCCTCCCAATTAACAAGGTAACGAGAGAAGATAATTCTCTATAGAAAGCACACTTCTTCCTCTATGAAACCCCCTCAGAAACATCTATAAAGACGTATTAGTCACACAAACAGCTTTATCCATATTGGACTTAATGGAAAATCAACCAAACAGCCCCTTACTTTGACGTTGCTCTTCATTCAAATATACAGGCATATTCACCACTCGGTTCTCCTGGCACGAAATGGCTCAAGAGCAATGTACTGCAGCATCCCATTCTGACAATGGTTGCGGAAAGATTAGGGAAGACGCCTGCACAGGTGGCTCTCCGTTGGGGTTTGCAGATGGGTCATAGCGTACTTCCAAAGAGTACGAATGAAGCACGTATCAAAGAGAACTTTGCCATTWTCGATTGGTCCATTCCAGATGACTTGTTCACGGAGTTGTCTAAAATCGAGCAGGCAAGCTTTCTTCTCCTGCCTATCACATCTAATCCATCATTCAATGTGAAAAATCCATTTATTCACATGTGAATGCTACTTTCTTGCAGGCACGACTTMTCAGAGGGGAATTTCTTGTCAATGAGACCTACAGCCAGTATAAAACCGTTGAAGAACTCTGGGACGGTGAGATCTGAAAAATAGGAGAACTTAAACGATTCTAGTTGTGTTTATTTTCGTCATTTTCGTAAAAACAATGCAAATAAACCAGGACTGATGTCAAAATCCTGGAATCAAAGGACAGTTTGAAGTTTACTCTGGTGGCATCATGGTTTAGGAGAAACTGATAAGGTTATGTTATGTTCRTTTCTGCATTTGGTACACGGAGACTAAGACATAGCAAAAATCTGTTGTCTCACGTTTGACTCAACAATGGAATTCKGGTAGAACGGGATCGAGTGACATAAAAATGCATGTTTTCTATCTCRCWTAAACTACCTGCCCTGCCATTCATGTCAATTTAATACCTYAYTCTTGCTTRTCGAGATCYTTGTTCAAGTACCAAATGCAYCCTTACGAAAACAATCTTTTTTTCAAAAGATTGCAACCAGACCCACTCTCGTCTTATCTCATCATCCCGGATTGACCAAATAGCATACCTGCCTACACGATCAAAATGATAATAAACGGTCATTACCTTTTTGTCATGTCACATTTCAAGGTAAGATGATCAAGGTGTCTACATATAGGGGTATTTAGTGGTATGAAATAACGATTGTTAAGTGAGGGATCAAAATCAGAATAAAAAATGCATACCACATGTTTTTTTTTTTTTTTTGTAATAAACGAAGTTCAGGGATAAGAACCATAAACACCATCATACAATATGAACAAGCAAACCAAACCTACCCGACAAATCTCATTCGAGAATAGGGTTTAAGGAGTTGTTTTAATAAAAATATCGTTGGACCGTTCAAAACCGATCGAACCAAGTTAAATTGGACCGTATTTGGCGGTTTGAGCGATCTGATGGTCTGGTCTAGCATGAAAAATGGACAAATTGCTTGATCTGGTCTACGGTTTGAACGTTTTTTAAGCGGTATGGACCGAACTAACCGTTAAAAAAGTACATGTAGATTAATTATATTTAGTTTTTATGTTATAGGCTCAACTTGATGACACAATTGAAAAAAGTGTGTCAAAAACATTATGTTTTTAGTTTTCATTTATCAATTGACYGCGTCATTTAAATTGGCAAAATTCCGAATTTCGTCAAAAATAAATATAAAAAATTTTAAATCGCTATTCGACTTGCTCAATATTGTCCAAAATTTTAACTATTTTGTTTAAACTTTTTCTAGTTTGTTCAATGTTTTTTTTAGGTTATATATATATACTTTAGGCAATAATGAAACGAAAAAATGACGATGGTGCCCTTAGGTTCGGACGTACAAGGTACCCATAAAGGGAAGGGGTGGTCGAAGAAGCGGGAGGAGAGAGAAAAACACAAGGGTTTTGTTTTTTTACTTTTTTCGAATTGCCAACGATACTTGTACAACAAATTCATATACTTAAATGCTAATATTTTTTTTAAAAAAATAAATAAATACAAAATGACCAAAATACCCTTCAAGTAATGCCGTTACAATTGTCGTATTAATGCCGAGACTAGTTTCAAAGCAAAATACATGTCACAATTACTATTCTTGTCCTGTTTACGTTTGAGATACAATTTTTAAAGTTTTTTCTGCAAATCATACGAACTAAATTGTAGTTTACCCAAGTAAATAATAAATAATACAACTGCAATCATCTACGCGTAACTTAGTTGGTAAAGGGATGGAGTGACTTTGTCCATATATAAGATAGGTTGCAGGCCGTAGCTCACTCACATTAGCCTCTTTGGAGATGGGTCCGATGTGGGCCTAGTGAGTGTTTGAATAAACAACTTATACTGATGCCAAACCGGTAATAATAATTTTTAAAAAAATTAAACCATTATAATTTATAATAAATTAATAATTATTTTATAGGAAAAAATAAGCAATATTTCCAAACGCCCCTAATAAACAATATCACCAAATTATGTGATAAAAGTTTACCAGGTTTACGGAAAGAGAAACGTACCGAGGCCATTCCCTGGTGTTACATGTTCGAAACCAAACCCTAGAGCACTGATCGCTCATCTATTCCCCATCTTCTTATCATCGTCAACCAATCATGGGTTCAGGTGAGGTTAAGCTTCACAATTTCTTGCTTAAYAGGTTCAATTCTACTCAGTTAAATGACCCATCTGCAGAAACGCACACATTCGATTGCTACGAAGTGGGTTTYTTGTTTAAGTTAATGGGTTTTGCACTGTTGCCACGTTGTCATGACGATTTTTCTTTCTTATTTCTCRTTTAGATGCAGACATGGAGGATTATGGATTCGAGTACTCCGAGGAAGAACCTGAGGAGCAAGATGTGGACATTGAAAATCAATATTACAATTCTAAAGGTTTTGAATCAGTGAACTTCCTTTTCAGTAGTTAGAGTTATGCATATACTGGTTAAATTTTATCTTCAAAACTGATTGATACTTCTATCCTTACTATACGCTAGTAAATTCCCATTAATTGATAATACTTCTTCCAATCCAGAAAAAAGAGCTAAACATTGACTTTAATTTTGATRTGGAATAATGAGTTATATTTTCCACTTACGGAGTTGATATGAACAGCAACTYTTTGTTACCCACCTGGATTCTTCAAATCAAACCTGTATAATGGATGCATAGTTGTCTGCTTTGATGCAATTAAACAGTGCAAAGTAGTTGGCCWTGGATAGCAGTGTGAGGAATGACCCCATCTATGTTTTACAACCTTTGGCGAATTGGGTATTTATGTTTTGCTATYGGATTTTATTGCATGACGAAAGATAGTGTGAGAATAGGAGTTAAGGTGGAGAAGCGTGAGAAGGGATATGGACCCTTGATCGCTTTTAATCTCACCCCCATCCCATGAATTGTGCCTCCCACGGGAATTGATCTGATGCATCTCRTTAGTGTTGATCTTCAATTAGGATTGATCRAAGGGTGGAGATCCSTTCTYACCATAACTTCCATTCTCACAAGAACCCAAACCTTTTACTGCATTGTAGTTTTTTGGTTATTTTTAGTCTACCTGTACTAGTTTGGGATAAAAGCTTCTTTGCATTATTGCTGATCAACACTCTGGCTATAT